TCAAGCTCAAATAGAGAGGGGTTTATGGAATGATTTGACTAAGTAAATTGGGCTCCTTGGAGGGGATGTCGATTAGGTGGTTATGGGACATGAAATCAAAAACTTGCACCATACCCAGGGATATGGAGTGGTTTTAATTACACTTATGAGACCAACGTGTGACATTGAAGTTCTCCCCCCTCCCCCGAAACACCAAGGGGCTGGACCTGGTGGAGATGGCTTGTAATTCAGCTCAAAAGGAAGGCTTGCGGTTGTCGGCATTAGGTCCGTTGATCACAGTGCATTTCCAGTGTAGTCTATTAGAAACCTTGGACAGGATCACCATAACTGAGAAAAGGCCTACATTAGAATCTTGCAGATTGTGTAGGGTGGGATCCCAAAGGATCCAGATACAACCCGAGGCACCTTGCTCTTCAAGAGCAGTCCACGTGCAGGGCCTGAAGCCCCAAATGCTTCAAATATCCGAAAGGGTGGGAAATGGTAGTTTGGTCTCACACAGAGCCAAAAGGGAGGGGGAATGCTTAGCGTACAGTTCTCTGACCACACTTCTTTTTTTGAGGGTGGCCAAGGGTATAAACATTCCACATTAAGACTTTCACTGGGAGAAGGATGAGATTTGGGTCCTCCTTGAGAAGCAAGGGGGTTGAGACAGGGTTGCCGAGGTTAAGTGGGTCAGAGAAGAAGGATGAGGGGTAAGGGATTGAGAATGGCCAGTGTCATAGTTGACTCCAAAAGCTAGCAGGTTATCCAATTCCCTTTTGCTTTCGTTTTTTTTTGTTATGGAGGATGAGACTAAATCAGCAATGATGAAGTCTTTTAGGGTCTCTGTGGGGCCATCGAATTTGGAGCCCATCACACACATGACCTCCTGAGGTCACCTTGTGCACAATGCAAGTCGTAGAAGAAGGTGGAGTCATCTTAAGCCACTGAGTGAGACAGATAGCTCGTGGGGGACAGCCATGAGGAATGAGGAGAGTCAGTAGACCCCTTCGAGGGGGAACACCACAGAGTGGAGGGCTGTAAGTGCAAGAAACAGGGTGGAAGGGCGAGGGCTTTTTCTGGAGGGTAACTCAGAAAAAGGGGGTGGGGGGGGAGGGGGTAAGAATGCGTAAAGGGGTAGGATTGGGGGTTTTGGGGGAGAGAAGCAAAGGGTGCAACCCGGGTGAAGGGACCCTGCTGGCCACCAGATGGAGAGATGAGAGGAGAGAGAGAAGCAAAGGGTGCAACCCGGGTGAAGGGACCCTTCTGGCTAGGCGATCCGTGAGACAGGATAAGCCACGAGCAGTCCCTTACAGCCGAGGTATTCTCGACGGCTATTGAGGGTAACTCCAATGGGCACTCTAAGGGGAGAGAGGGTGAGGGACACAGAGCTTCAGTTCTAAACTTTCAGATAGACAAGAAAGGTGAGATTGCCTGGTTCAAACTGAGAGTCTGTGAAGGTGCAGGGTTGGCCAAAGCGGTATCTTGCGCTCTAGCCACATGTAGAGAGAAGGCCGCAGAGGGAGTGCCTGCAGATGAGGAAGACCCTGGGAAAGGCCCGCAGCTTGGCATGTCGAGGAAGGGTACAAGGCTAAGACCAGATTGAGTTGGGTTAGGGGTGACTATCGGATATGGGTTACCCTTGCCCTTAGGCGAAAGCTGAGGGGTAGGATGGGAGGGAGGGCAAAGATCACAAGCAGGTGAACATGGGGTGAGATCCACCGTTGGATGAAGAGATCCCTATCCTTGAGGAGGTCGCGAGATGGCTGGGCTTGAGTTGATAACCATCGTAGGATAGAGAGTCTTTATCGCGAGGGGTTGACAAGATGGGTGGGCTAGAGGACAATGTGTGAACACGTGTCAAAACTCCTGATGAGGCAGTAGGGTGGTAGGTGGAAAGTGGTCTAGCGGTTAAGCACGTGTGAGCCACTCCTTCACTTCGAAGCCCATTATTAGGTGCTTTGGTGGCTGCCATGTGGGTTTGTACGGCGGTGCTCGTAGGTACCCTGAAGCTTGTACCTCGCGGTATGCCGAGCTGGATGGATTTCTTTGGACGTCTAACGACTTGATATTGGAATGTTTGACGCGTGGCCCACCTGCTAGGGACCGTTGACTATCTCCATTTGTGAAGGGGCACAACAGGGTGGTTTCCTATAGTCCTTATGGGCTCTAGGATTTCTTAATCGACTACCGCGAATCACCATCGTCCACTCCTCCACAGCCTGCTGAATGGGGTATCGTGGTCTTGAACCAGCAATACTGTGGTCCTGAACATGACAAGGAGAGGAGGGGGAACCCTTCACCCAAGAAATTGAGACGCAGAAAAAAAGCACGTCTACCTCGAGCCAGAGGTAGTTGGGGACCTGTTCCGGAATGAGAGCCTCAACTAGGACTTGAATGGAACCAGGCTCATTTATGTGCACCATTCTTGTTTATTCGACATGCAAATCTACATGGGATCATTATGAAATGCATCATATTGAGTTGTCACATAGTATGTCCGTATTTACGTCTTGAGAATTTGATGGTTGTTATATTGGTATGCTTTCTTAGGGAACTACAATGTATACAATGAGACCATTTACTTTTTGATATAACGATGTCACAATCATAACACTAAAATGTTCTATATCAAAAAATTAAAATATAAGGATGTCACAATCATCATTGACCGTTATATTTGAAATCAGATGGTTCAGAATGTGTCATTGTTTAAGCACAAAGTCCAAAATAAAATTTCTCGAATGTTGTGGCACTTTCTTCTATTAGATTTCACATCTAATAGCTAAAATTGATTTTGGCCTCTTTGTACAAAAAATAAATGGTCTCAAAGTATACAATACTTAAGTATATATGTATATGTGTGTGTGTCTGTATAATCCCGTNTAGTATATATATATATAGTATATAGTATATATATATATATATATAGTATAGTATATATATANATTACTATAGGTTACTAGTTATAGTACGTTAATAG